AAGGTACGCAATCCTAAGTAAACTCGGCAAGTTAGCTCGGACTAGAACTAACTTGCTCGTCGGAGTGCTAACTTTATGTTGCAGGTCTCAAGAACTGTTCAAGGAAGGTGCCGACCATTGGYCATAGCTCGTCCTGAGTATACCGATCCGAATCGTGTCCGAGCTCAATCAATTTCGACCTCAAACATCAACCATGAAATATTTTGATGGARGGGTTCTAGTTATTAGGTCATTTGATCAGAATTTTGTTTAAAAAATAGTGAGAATGCTTGTCCTTTAACCATCATTTACTTATTTTTAAACACTGAATTAAGTTTAGGGTGAATTAGTTTAGTTTAAGCACTTTAAATATATCTCTTATTTTGTACTATATTTAGAGTGAATTTGTTTAGTTCAAGTTTAAGCACTTTTAAACCTATCATTCTYATTTTATACTATATTTTAGGGTGAATTATTTTAGTTTAAGCACTTTTTAATCTCTCTCATTTTCTACCTTAATTAGAGTGAATTAGTTTTAGTTTAAGAGACCTATATACTTGTTACATTTCTGTAAAGTATTTTTAATTGCAAATTTGTTTAGTTGCACTATATCTAATAATGATAGTGATCTAATCATAATTTTTTTTTTCACTCCATATTTTAAATGATTTTCAATCCATCACTTTTAATAAAAAGTATTTTCGATTCATTTGATTTTTAATAAGTGCATGATCCTACTCTGAGATTTTGATGACTAGGAGTATATAATGATAAAAGTTTGAAATATGTAGTTATTAGAGTGCTCATTGATTAAGCTTTACACCCATTTATCAACGGTTAAATTTGTACGCATAAGCATGGAATCGAGGTAATGAGATACTTATAATGTGGCAGTGTTTTGCATAAGCATGTCAACGGTTTCAAAACATGTAGCAGTGGTTTGCTTCTATCAGCTCTTCCGTTTCAGATCCACAAAGTCGAAAGAAAATACAAAAGAAGGTAACAATCTCTAAGATAATGAGATACTTATAATGTTCCAATTTTTTTCCCTGTTTTTTGGTTTTCAGTTTTTGAAAAACATAACTGTTTTATAATTACTTCTATTTTTTGTTTTTCATTTTTAGAATGTTCTCAAAATTGTAGTAGAAATTCTAAAAAACTAACCAAACCAAGTTTTTTGTTTTTTTTTTCTAAAATATGAATAAAAATATTATCATATCATTACTTACTTACAAAATGCATAATAAATATTAGAAATAAATATGACATAATAAATTTTAAATATTAATTTTTATCTAAAACTTTTACTTTTTAAATTTTAAATTTTAGAA